TAGAGTGCCTTGTGCTGTAATATTATGTATAAAGTAATACAGATACGCTACAACAGCTCTCAAAGTACACGTAACATGAGTGAAGCCATTGCCTTTCTTTTAGAAATAGCTAAAGCAGTAATCTTCCTTTTCCTTTACTCCTATATACATATTCTAGATAAGCTGAGCATGTTAGTCTAGAATACTATGTGCTCAGCAGTAGTAAATTTACATTTAGATGTGAGAACTAGTTCAATGCGGAAAACATTCAAGATAGCAGCACAAATATGTAGTAAAAGCTGTTTGGTCCTGAGACTGAAAAAGCAGAATACACAAGAATATTTTTTCTTACATGTTTACTTTTAAGAATAATCTCTTAAACCCATATACCCTGTATCTTGGGAGAAGTTCAATGTTAGTTTTTCTCTTAACTCATTAGATTTTGATTTAAAGTGTGGGAAAAATTACAATAAATTGAGTTCTGCCCATTCATTTGAATACAAGCATTTTAGCCTGTTGAATAGTGCTCGCTCTGATACCATAGCAGCAAAAACCACAGCTGACTCTCTACCACAGCTAACTGGCCAACTGGTGATTCCATGCTCTCGGCTATAACTTAGAATGCAATTTTCTTTTATGCATAGGTGTAGTAAGGGTTATTCACCTGTTCTCAGGCTGTGGGACAGATCAGAGCCACCTCCTTAAAGGGTAATGCACAGTTCTGTCTCCTCACTGCAGCTGTGATACCTTAAGAGGAGTAGTACTGTTAAAATCTAAGAAAAAAGGACCCTCTTGTTGAGGCAGGAATGTGGTGGGGATAATGTTGTAAACTCCAGCAAATATATTCTCCACTTCCAAGTAGCAAAATCCACACCTATGATAAAAGAAACCTCCTGTTAGAACTGGGATCTGAAGTAGGTTTCAAACCTGTAAGACTTCATGAAGCGAGTACTACCTGTAGTCACCGCTGCTGCTCTTCTGGAAGCCATGGGAACCAGGATCTCCTACTGTCGAGACTGTGATGAGTTCGAAACCAACGCTATACTGCCTGCAGGTGACATGACAGACTGTTACTGTAGTTATTTGGGTCATCAGGATTACCGTGAAGAGGGCTGTTTATTAATAACCTACACAGTATAACTGGAAGACTTCTAAAAATTTTGTCACATTTGTGACAAAAATATTGAGTCAAAGTTACCATGACGTGAACGTAGAATTCGGAGGAAGATGGAACACAATTCAGACTATATGGAAAAGGCCTGCTAGAAGTCTGCCTCCGCATTTAAGCAGACTCCAAACAGTTAAACTTGTGCTGACATAATTCTCTGCCACATGGCACAGATCCTGGGGTATGATCTGATCGCTGTCAGAGGAATCGATGTCAGTGATCTCAGCAGAATTTCTCGTGTTGCACTATAACTCGGGACAGTTTGTCTACTACCTGTTAACATGTGACAGGCACCACTGCCCCTGTCACTCAAACTACCCAAACACGATCTGCAAGTGCAGGGAAAAATGCATACAAAAACCCTCTCAAGGAAGGGAACAGTAGAGCCGCACCTTTGTGCTCATCCTCACTTCCTGAGAGCAGGCGCTTGCTCAAAGGGAGGAGGATGGGTGAAGAAGCGCTGCCACTTTGTGGGGCCTGCAGTACAGCTTTGCAAGAGATAAACACTTGACTGCATGGCAGGAGGTGCTGCTATTTAGAAGCGCTGTATACTGGTATTTTGAGGTAGGTCATGAATTTTGCCAAGTGAATTTGGCCTGTGTAGGCCTAGTCTGTATGGCACCAACATCCAGTACTTCTCCTGGCCTGCTAGTGGCAGACTAAATGCACTTTCAGAGTGGAAGCTACTGCATAGGCGATTATTTGAGAACCTGTAAGGGTTTAGTATCCTGCATACTAGCTCTACTACAAAAGAAAAGGAATTATGATCATAATTAGTTTTAAGAGGAAGGAAAAGTCCTTTGTACCTTCTTCCCTTCTGTGCAAGGCTTAGCTTTGCTCAGACCCCGAAACTGAAGAGAAAGAGGGCTCCTACTTTCCTTGTAGGTCAAGGATTTCCTCAGTAGCAAACATGGGGGTTTAAATCCCTATCGATGGTGAAGTCAGAAACATCAACAGTGCCAGATCTAAGCCACCTCCCATACCTTCCCCCTCTTCTGGATTTTCAGGGAGCTTCCCACCCCCCCCAGAGGATACCGACAAGCTTTATCTTTAGCGTGCAATACTCGCGCCGTGTTGCTGCACTTATTCTCCACAAACCTTGGGCCCCGTAGTTCAATTAGTAATGGCCCATTCTTGTCCAACTGGAATTGATAAATGGGGTTATTTTTATAGGTGTCTCTGAAATTTCCACATCCTCCAGCGCTGTGACCTTTCCACTGTCCATTAACCTGAAAGAAGTCAAAGTACAGAAAATACTTTATATCCTGAGGATTTTTATTGCTTATTTATACACACAAACAAGACTAGAGGTTCCGGTCACTGACTTCAGAAATTTTCCCTAATTTTTAAAGCGCAAATGAAAGACTGTGTTAAGTATTCAGAAAGTTTCACTGCAGTCCTCCACCCACCGCAATCAAAGCCACAGATCATTTACAAGTGTACTGTATTTTTCAGCTTCTATTAAATAAGTACGGAGTGACTGTTTCTGACTATGACAAACTGCATCTAACAAAGGCTCTATATTCTCATCTATCCCATGACTACCAGAGTATGTAGGTTATTTTTTTTGCTCAGACACTCCTCTGTTGCGCTGAATGAGAAGCCACAGCAGTACGGGAATCACAGCGCTACCCATGTTGTGTAACCGTTGCCTTTGAAATCGCTGCCTCCAGCACTGTCCGTTCACCTCTCGGCACTCAGAGCCAGCATTACAGGGACAAGGTATCTGTAAGGACAGATTCCGCAAGGACAAAGACATGCAAGAGGAAAAACGCTGCTCAGACTTTGAGAGACAGGCCATCTGTTTGCAAGTTCCTCCTGCTAGTCGTTAAACTGAAAGGTTAGACTTGTAAGACATGCCAGGCATTCACACAGATTTATCGCTGAGATTAATTTCTCCTGTTACTTCCCTCCCCTTTCTGTCAAATCAGCAAGAAGGAATGTTTTTTTCCTTACGATTTAATTTCTTTACTCGGTGTCCAAAAACTTCAAACATGGCAAGTTTGGAAGCAAGGGGGATTTCTGCCCCCGCCATACTACTACCCAGGAACCTAGAATTGCTGCGTGCCATGAGCTTTCCAGGCATTTTCCACCTCCACTGCACTTAGTTCCAGGAATCCCTCCAGGCCCTGGCAAGCTCCAGAGGTGAGCACTCAACTGTAGTCTAAGGCATCTCACAGAACTTCCTTTTACTGGTGAACTGCGAATTAGCTACCTGCTTGTTTTTAAGTGTGATGGCTGCCAAGCAAGCACAAAATAAGCATTAAGCACAGGCAACCAGCTTTTTGTATTTCATCAAAGACAGAGCTGGCCTTGGGTAGAACATGCCTTTTATTTGAATGCTAGGCAGACATCTTCAAATAATTAACAGAAGGTTTCCACACACTTCATTTTCTTTTGAAACATAATACAACATCAAACAGACGTCCTGCCTCAAACACGCTGGTCACCTTCAATGAGTTTTTGACCTCTCAAGGCATTCCCCCAAACTAAGCCCAGTTTTTAAGAGCTAAAAAGGACAATAGTTTCTGGAAGAACTAAGCAAATCATCTTGCTGTTCACAGGAATCTCTCTAGCCACTTACCGTTCGTTCCCAAGAACGGGCTAGCTTCGAGGGGCTGCTGCAGAAATAACAGCTGGTACAAAACACTGTCTGACATCAAGAGCCTAGCTGTAAGCCAACATGTCCCCCTGACCACACAACGTACTGTAATCCTGACCAGACAAAGTAGTGTAATCCCTGGTTTCAGAAATGAGTGTCCTATAAAGTGAACTTATCATAGAATTATTAAAGTTGGAAAAGACCTCTAAGATTGTCAAGTCCAACCATCAACCCAACACCACCACTCCTACTAAGCCACGTCCCAAAGTGCCACATCTACACATTTTTTGAACACGTCCAGGGATGGGGACTCCACCACCTCCTTGGGCAGCCTGTTCCAATGCCTGTCCACTCTCTCAGTAAAGAAACTTTTCTTAACATCTGATCTAAACCTCCCCTGACGCAACTTGAGGCCATTGCCTCTCGTCCTATCGCTAGTTACCTGGGAGAAGAGACCAACTAAGGTCCTCCCTCAGCTTTCTCTTCTCCACACTAAACAGCCCCAGTTCCTTCAGCCATTCCTTGTAAGACTTGTTCTCTAGATCCTTCACCAGACTTATTGCTCTTCTCTGGACATGCTCCAGCACCTCAAGGTCCTGCTTGTAGTGAGGGGCCCAAAACTGAACACAGTGCTCCAGGTGCGGCCTCACCAGTGCCGAGTACAGGGGCACCATCACCTCCCTACTCCTGCTGGCCACACCATTCCTGATACAAGCCAGGATGCCATTGGCCTTCTTGGCCACCTGGGCACACTGCTGGCTCATGTTCAGCCGGCTGTCGACCAACACCCCAAGGTCCAAGGTCGACCAACACCCCCAAGTTTCCACTGGGCAGCTTTCCAGCTGCTCCTCCCCAAGCCTGTAGCGTTGCACGGGGTTGCTGTGACCCAAGTGCAGGACCCGGCACTTGGCCTTATTGAAGCTCATACGATTGGCCCCAGCCCATCGATCCAGCCTGTCCAGATCCCTCTGCAGAGCCTTCCTACCCTCGATCAGATCGACACTCCTGCCCACTTGTTCCACTGTGGCTCAAACTAGCCTTGTTTCTCCCTTCCCGACAGAGGTTACTGTTTGGACAGAAGACTTCTGCCTATAGTAGGATTCCACAGGGAATGCATGGTAGGTACCGAGATTAAAGTTAACAGCTGCTGGCTTATTCTTTCTCGAGGATAAAATTGTTGGTACATGAAAATACATGCAAGTTGCTTTATCCTGTGATCTCTTGGCTATATTTATACTTCAGCTGAAGGTATAACTGCAGCTCATGTTGACAGCTGAAATGAGAACAGCAGCTGGCCCCAAAACTGCCTGGGCTTCCGAGTTAACTTCAGTCAAGGTTTTTTGCTCTTGCCCCTGCTGCTGTACTCTCAGGGAGCATTTCTACATGAAATGCACCACGGGTATATTGCCTTGATCCGGTTCGGCAGTGTGAGTGCTCATCCCAGTGATCACAGACTTTTGAGACGTTTTAGCAAAATATAGGAACAACAACATATTATGATACTGCCCTCCGAAGTCCGTTTGTCACAGTCTTGCTACTGGTGCCTTTGGTTTGCCACTGCTGATTTTGTTCCATCATGCCAAGATTTTTTCTAAGAAAATCATGCAATTCTCTCACGGGGAAAATGAGCAACGCTTTTGCAGGGTTTCTGCTCTGCAATAGCACCAGCACAATTTGAGGTCTACAGAGTAACTGGGGTACAGGTTGTTATTCTATGGGCCAATCTGTTCTACAAAGGCTTTGCAGCGCGTCTGCAGTGGCACAGCTGTAACACCACGCTCTGCGACCAAGGTGGAGCTCACACACCAAACGCCAGCGACAGTTAAGTCGCCATCCGTACAGAGTGGTGCGAACAGCGTGAGCCAGCCCAAGGACTTTTATGTCCATATGGATTATGCTAATACTGCAGCTAATTGTTTGACAAATCACACATAACTTGAGTACAGGATTGGTCTTGTGCTAATGATGCTTAGATTAAGCTTTAGTTAAGAAGTTTCATTTGTTAAAAGACAGCATAACTTGGCATTTTTGAGCAGTAGTATAAAAACACATTTTTAAACCTTGTACATTTCAAATACAGAAAAGCTAAGCTAGAATTATTATCCACTGAGCCATAAAAGAAAGTATTTCCTTACCCGTTTGGAAATGGTGTAAGGTGTAGGAATCTTGGAAAAGGTGAACTTGCACAAGGAATACACCTGTGTCACAAAAGAAGCAGCTGGTCACAGATTCATCTTGCACTTTTCATATGAAACCATGACACGTTATAAAAAGCAGAATTGCCTACATATCATTTTAGATACTCGTTAACTACGTGCCCATATTACTTATCAGACGATCCCCTCAGAAACTCAAAATCCAGAACTAGGACTTGCTAGGACTAACAAGATTTAGTTCTACTTAATTTTTATTAAAAAAAAAAACCAAAACAGAAGCAATCTGCCTTTTACTGTTTTCAGTGAGAAAAAAAGAGACATCTAACATTGATCTCTGCCTGCAAACAGATACTATTTTTTTTTGTTCTAGGAAATAAAGTATTTTTCAGCTGATTTTATCACTAAAAATTTCATTACTAAAACCACACACACTATATTGTCTTAACTACAATGGAGAACATTATCAAGCACTTCACCCAATGGTTCTGCTCCATCATTCATAGCCTCCCTCCCCAAAATAACAGTTATCGATCCAGAATTACACTTGTTTATCAAACTTGCAAATAAAGGACACTTAATAGTTTAATTGTTTACATTCATTATGAAATCAGCACTACATACCCTGATGGTGTAATGGATAGTGTTTTGTTTCTCGTACTGGGACACCACTAAGGTAAACGTGTGGGGCCCTGGAGAGGTCAGCTTTATCTTGGTCAGATAATGGGGACTGTTGATCCGAATACCATCAATGTACGGAGGAGGATCAGCTGAAAAAGAAAAGGGATGAATGCTTTTCCCACATCAAAAAATCCCCCAGTTTGGTAAACTTCTTAGCCATAAGCAGACTTGAGTGCTCTCAAAATAATACAGCCTCGATAAAAAAAGGACAAATAATCTTAAGAGCAACTATTATTTTCAGGAGAGGTACCTCACGCATGGCAGGACACAAATTCTGCACTTGAAAGTAGAGCTTAAATCCCATGACTTGCAAGTGCTGCTTATCCATCTCCCACCAATGTCACTGTTCAAAGGAGACCTACTGTGGTTATGTTGAAATTTAAGATGACAGACATAGAATGTTTGAGCACTCTTTAAAAATCTGTGAGGAGACTGTTCTTTCTCCATTGACTGGACCATTCCAGAACACAAGCTGCCAAAATCTTTGGCCACTGGGCAAATAAGACTTTAAGACACGTTAATTTCTTTAACTAATTGGCACACACTTTGTCTGTCTCTCCAAATCCTTGTGATCATTACACTATGTAGTTGGATCCCAGAACCAACTCACATGTGGTGCTTATTATGAATATCCCAAATATTTGCTTTTACAATTAGACAATGTAATTTGTTATTTGGCCTCTAATTGGTTCTTTCCAGACTCCTTTTAATTTCAGCGAAGCAGGAACAAGTCTAGCCAGTTACTTCATTAAGCCCAGGATCAGGTCCCTTTATTTTCTTCCACAAGGCAATGTGGGAGAGAGGAAAGGATTAATATAAAACACTGAAAAGCTTAGGAATGGGAAATCCTGGCCTCACTGCCAACGGATTAAGCTGCTTTGTACTGATCTTATTTTAACAGATGGTAAAAATAATACTGCCGTCTGACTAATGTATTTCCATGGAAAAAAGTTTTAAATGAGTTTGAGCTCATGAGATTAAAGTTTATAAAAGAGTTTGGGTAGCAAGACAAAACACATGAATTATCCAGTTCTTGCTAGTGGTCTTGGTTGGAAGACTGTCTCTTTCAAGCACAACCAACCACTTCCCTCCACTACACAAATGTGTTTGGTTTGCCCAGTTAAGAATGCTTTCAGTAAGACAGGTATGTAAAATAAGCACTGCTACAAGTAGCAGAAACACCAGACGCATGTCTTGGGCTGTAAGCAGAAGCAGATGCTTCAACAAGATCAGCTCTTGCAAAAACAGATGATGATTTGGTCAGGTCTCAACAGATGCCTTCCGCAGAAAGACAGCTTGGATTCTAGGGAAACTGGTTGGCAGAGTTCACCGAACAAGACCAGAGATGAACAATGCAACCCTTTCCAGCCATCCCAATAGGAAAAAAACCCCACAAATTCCACTCTTTGGTGAAAAGAGCTTTAAAAGCTACTCTCTAACTGTTGCTACTACCTGTTGCATGAGCAGCTACCTGAATGCAACCCTGGTTCTAACGAGGTTCCTTATCTGTAAAAGCTATAGGCTAAATCCCATCTGCCTTAGGATGCACCTTCACTGAATTATTCCAAGGAATATTTTTACAGAGGTCTCTAAGTTGATATCAAGAATAAATAACAACTATTACTGGCTCTACCTTAAACTTGCAGTCTACCCTATCCATCCAGCCTGGGCATTACCTTTACTTTCTGTGTCTCAACCTGTGCTTCAGATCTGTCTTGAAACAAAACATGGCTTTTTCACAGCTACAAAGCTTCAAAAGCCAAGCCCCTTCTTCTCAAAGTGAGTAGAATCTGACCTATAATGACAGAGAGTAATGCTCTGATAAAATCTGAACATCTAAATATTTTTCTTAAACATTCCATACCTGATCCTTTGAAATACGTTGAAGTGTTCTGCTATATCTCAGGACCTTGCTTAGGTACTTTACTCAGCCAAGTTCATAGAACAATTCACCTTGATCATTTACATTTAGTTGAAGCCATAAACCTTTAAATAATTTCACAAATGTGGGAGATAATTATGTTATCACATAAACAGAAGCACAGCATCTGTTTGCTCTAAGAATTAACTACTGCCACTGCAAAATCAACAGAACAATAAAGAAAATGCTGTGCCAGACTAAGTGTCAGCAGGACCATGCAGACCTCTTCGCGTGCTTCCAACAGATACAGCTCGGTTTGTTCCTTCAGCGTAGCCTATTGAAGGTGGTCAAACACGGCTAAACAACTGTTTCGGAAGATTGACCTCTCAGAGTGAGGCATCTAGTTTTAAAGCAGAAAGTGCATTTCCTCTCCATAAAATCCTTTGCAATTCTTCATTTATTTCTAACATCATCTTCTTGACAATTAAGGTACACTAACCTGGGTAGTAAACTTTTTTGCCATCAGTCTTGTAAACAACCATTGTAATGAATTCCCGATTGTGTGCAAAGTCATCCTATAAAAAACACAAATCAGAGTTGTACTCTTCTGTGGAACATAACTAGTGCTTACACAGAATTAAGTACGCATTCTATCATCGCCTTCGATCACCACATGGTACGATCTGATATTTGTATTTACAAAGATACCTGATCCAATCCTTTAAAAAAATATACCTGAAAAACAAACTGCCACCAATTTCACTTATAACAGTTCAGAGTTACTTCATTACCTTTATGGTGGAGAAAATAATCATCTCACTCAAATTTTCACTCTGGGTCTACTTCAATGATCTTGTACACAGTTATGTGTACCTGCTGAATTTAATATTTATACATATACGTAGACATACATACTTGAGCATGAAACTACAAGCAGTAATATACCAATAACATAGAAAGCTATATAAAAAGATTGGCAGAAGATGTAAGAAAGAGAAGCGGGCACCTTATCGGTGATGTGCCTGCTGAGCAGAACCCAGAGGGCAGCACCGCCTTGTGGACACTGGACCTCCAGCTTGTACTGAGGATTGTTCGCCAGGCTGTAGGCATCCTTCACCGGGCCTTGCTTTGCATCCCACGTACTACAAGTAATAATACAGAGACGTTATTAGACCAGTAAGATACTAATTCGTGCTTTGAAATCTGACTCCAAATCCTACATAGATACAGAGCTATCCATTATCAGTAACAAAGTGACTGAAGGCTAATTTTCTGCAGGGATCTATGACAGTGGTCACATAACTCATCAGTGTCAAAAGCATAACCTTACAATTTTGTTTTATGAATGACTTTACTACAATACAAGTGTGATAACAAAAAATGCTAAATACAAACAGACCGGCTGTTTGGTATGGTGACTGCAGCCACACAGAGCACAGCCATTCGGGGAGCCCAGGCTGCCAATTCATCATGATGACTGCACACACCGTATGAATTATTAACGCAGAAACACCTCGGCTTTTGTAACTGTAAGACTCCATATGTAAGCTATGGTGAGTTCCAAAAGCTTGCCAAATTTTTTCCTCCAGTTTTTTATTCAGCTAGTTTTTCTTTAAAATTCGATCTGTTTTATGCTTGGAACAGTGACTGCATGAAGTGTTAAAAAACATCTTTGAGGTACCCTACTGCAAAAATGGCCTGCGCCCTCACAAACTGCCTAGGCAAGGAAAATAAGGTATGGAAAAACTAAAAGTGTTGCTGACTGAACACAAAGCGTGGCACGCAGGGAACAGAAGTGGACAAAACTAGTCCTAAGTCCCACTGACCCTCCCACGGTTTTAAAACTGAACAGCATGTATGGAAGGCTGTGTTATCAACTAAGCTTCAAATTATCACCATCATTACTCCA